GCATGTCATCCACATAAAGACAAACTATGACATAACCTTTGTTTGTGCTTTTAACATAGATGCATTTGTCACATTCGTTTATCTTAAAACCATCTGAAAGCATAGCGTGATCAAAATTTTTATGCCATTGTTTCGGGGCTTGTTTTAATCCATAAAGGGATTTGACACGTTTACAAACTTTTTTCTCTTGACCGGGAACTTGAAACCCTTCCGGTTATTCCATATAGATTTCTTCATCCAACTCACCATTCAAAAATGCTGTTTTAACATCCATTTGATGTATTTCCAGATTATACAAAGCTGCAATAGCAATCAACATGCGAATAGATGTTATTCTTGTCACTAGTGAATAGGTGTCAAAATAATCAAGGCCTTCCTTCTGCCTGTATCCCTTAACAACAAGATTAGCCTTGTATTTATCTATTGAACCATCTACTTTCATTTTTCTCTTGAATATCTACTTATATCCAAGAGGTTTACATCCTGGTGGAAGATCCACCAGTTCCCAAGTATGATTTTGTAGTATTGATTCAATTTCATTATTCACAGCTTCTCTTCACAATGGAGCTTCAAGACTTGATATTGCTTCCTTGAAGTTTTAAGGCTTATTTTTTAACAGGTATGATAGAAAATCTAGACCAAAAGATTTAGAGATCCTAACGCTCTTGCTACGTCTAGGTTCATCTGATTCATTATCATCGTGGTCTTCACTGCTACCCATAGCAGTATCAAAAGTTCTTTTATTTGAACTTTTCTCTTCAGTTTCCTTACTAGGAAAAATGTGTTCAAAAAACGACGCATTCCTTGACTCAATAATAGTGTTTACATGCATATCCAAATTTTCAGATCTATGAACTAAAAATCTATATGTATTACTATTATTTGCATAACCAATGAACACACAATCAACAGTTTTTCGTCATATCTTAGTCGTTTTGGGATTAGGGATTGCCACCTTGGCCAAATACCCCCACACTTTGAGGTAATTGTAGGTAGGTCGTTGACTTTTCCATAATTCATAAGGTGTTTGATTGAGTTTCTTGTGGGGTACCTTGTTAAGGATAAAGTTAGCAGACAAAATCGTCTCCCCCCACAAGTTCTGAAATAACCCTGAACTAATCAACATGGTATTCATCATCTCTTTAAGAGTTTGATTCTTCCTCTCAGCAACTCCATTTGACTGAGAAGAATAGGGTGCAGTGGTTTGGTGAATGATACCATGTTTAGAACAAAATTCTTCAAATGGTGCATCATACTCACCACCTCTGTCACTCATCACTATCTTTATAGTTTTGCCAAGTTGATTTTCAACCTCAAGTTTATATTGCCTAAAAGCTTCCACGGCTTCATCTTTACTTCTCAATAAGTAAACATAGCAACATCGAGTGCAATCATCAATAAAAGTAATAAAGTACTTCTTACCTCTTCTAGTTTGAACAAATTTTAAATCACAGATACCTGTATGAATTAAACTTAGAGGTTCAGTACTTCTTTTAACTTTATTAAATGATATCTTAGTAAGTTTTGCCTCAACACAAATCTCACATTTATGATTAGGATCAAATTTTAAGTTTGGTAAACATTCTAAAGCAACAAGTTTACGCAAAGAATTAAAATTAACATGTCCTAATCTACCATGCTATAAGAAAGAAGACTCAGTAATATAAACAAAAGATGTGTTCTTAATATCAAAAGCCAAATTAGGTACAACCGTTATTACATTGAGCTTAAAAAGCCCATCACTCACATAACCTCACCCCCCATACATTCTACTCTTGGAGAGTACAACTTTATCAAATTCAAATACTAATTTAAACCCATTCTTGATCAACAATGACCCATAAATCAAATTTTTGCGAATCTCTGGCACATGGAGTACATTGTTAAGAGTGAGTTTTTTCCCTAAGGTCATTTTCAACATGATCTTCCTTGTTCTCTACAGTTGATGTAGAGAAGTTTTCCATAAAAAGTTGTTTCTCACTTTCCACCACTTTGTAAGTTGTGAACATCTTCTTATCTGCACAGATATGGCAGGTTGCTCTAGTATCCACCCATCACTCCTTGGGATTACCCACCAAGTTTGCTTCAGAGATTACTGCAGCAAGATTGATGTCTGCCACTCCACCAGAAAGATAAAAATCCTCGGCTATGTTGGCTTGTGCTGGCTTTTTGCTCGAACTCCCTCCGTCCTTGCGAACGTGACAATCCTTAGCACGATGTCCATCTTTGCCGCACACAAAACACTTGCCTTTGAACCTCTTGTTGAACCCGTTGTTGATCCCTTTGTTGATCTTACTAGTGGATCCTCGTTTGGGACCATTGCCATCATGCTTCCGTTTTTTGTTGAACTTTGACCCTTGTCCATGTGCCACAATATTTGCTTTAGTCTGCATAACATGGTTTCCTGACTTCTTGTTGAAACCACATTGTCCTCCTCAATTCTGAGTCGCACAATCAGTTCTTCCAATTTCATCTCCTTACGCTTATGCTTTAGATAATTCTTGAATTCTTTCCAGGATGGTGACATTTTTTCAATAATTGTCGCTACTTGGAAAGATCCACTGAGAACTATCCCTTCTGCATGTATGTCATGGAGAATTAATTGGAGATATTGAACCTGGCTAATAACTATCTTGGAATCCATCATCTTAAAATCCAAAAAACGACCAACAACAAATTTCTTTATACTGGCGTCCTCTATCTTATACTTAAGATCTAAAGATTCTCACAGTTCTTTAGCAGTGCTTTTAACACTTTACACATTATACAGTGTATTGTCCAACCCATTGAGGATATAATTCCGACACAGAAAATCATCATGTTTCCATGCATCGACTGCAGCAATCACTTGCCGATCAGTTTTCCCCTCGTTCAGTGCCCGAGATTTTTCATGGATGAAGCGAGCCAAATTCAATGTAGTAAGATAAAACATCATTTTTTATTACTATCTTTTAAAATCATTTCCATTGAATTTTTCTGACTTCTCCCCATAATTTACCGGTACTGTTGGAGTCATCACTTGCACAACAGGTGTGGAGGTCGGAATAATAACAGTCTCAATACTGTTAGTTGTCATATTTCTGACGAAATAAAAATGTATCAATCACAAATTTATACACAAAAGAAATTACACACAAAATATACAGAAAAATATTTCGTAACAAAATTTCAATGATAAACAGTATATTACTACTATTTTATCAAAGAAATCATTAAACAGTATATTATTACTATTTAAGAAATTAAACAGTATATGACTACTATTTAATTTCCAATACAAAATATTTGTCTGTCTTACACAAATAAATTAAAAATAAAAATCTACTTTAAGATTGTTATACCCATAGTGGTGTGTGTGTGTAAATTAAATGTATAAATTAAATAAACAATAAAATAAAATAATTCAGAAAATAATTATATAAATTATTTTTCGAATTAAATGTTTACAGAAATTAATGTCGAGGCTTGTGTTGGACACAATCTCCTTAAAGTAGATTTCGCCCTCACTCTGGTGCTTCGAGTTTTACGGCGTCTACTTCCCAGAATGCAACGACTAACACTTGATTTTACAACACTATAAAATCAAGTCTGGTGAACCAATACTCTGTTGTAACTCTCTCTTTTCTTCCTAAAAAAATAAATGCAGAAACAGATGCAAGAACATAGGAAGAACAGAAGAAAAATGACAAAATTCTAAGAGAAAAATTGAATGAATTGAATTGCTGGAAGCATGCTTTATATAGGCAGAATGGTGGCTGTTTCGAACAAGTATAAACCTGTTTAGACAGATTGAACAGGTGCCAGAAAGATTTGAATCTATTTGGACAGATTCAGTTTGAGTTGAACATGTTTTGAACCCTTTGAACCTGTTCGGGTGGGTCTGAACTCGTTAGGGATCGGTTTGGCTGAAAGAAAAATTCTAGACCAATTTAATTTTAATTTTGAAAACAAAATAAAAAATAAAAAATAAAAATAAAAAATAAATAAATAAATAAATAAATTACAAATGTTTTTGGCTTAAAAAGATAAGTATTGAGTCGGACAAGCCCCAACCCAGTCCACCCGACGTTTTTGACCAAAAAAGATAAGTATTGGGCCGTTCAAACTTGCCTGACCGGATGGCATGTGTGTGGTTTTTATTTTGGGTTCAATGGGTCTAGCTCACTTCACCCATAACCTCACCCTTTCACAAACTTGGGTACCCCTTCTAAGTATCCCAACCTAAGGTATATAAACCCATTCAAATCCTTAAACCTTTCTAATGTGAGACAAACACATTTCACAATTGTATAGGAAACCCACCTAAATACATATCCACGAATCCGAAAATGCGCATTGAATTCTTATTCATCCGAAAATAGTTTTGAGCAACCAAATATACGGTTTTATTCACTACGCTGCATGAAACATGAACCCAATTAAAAATGTTAAAAATAATGTCCAGATCCCATCTTAATAAATGCTCAAAGTTAGTAAAAATTAAAGATTTTCAAAGCCATTTTCCAACGGAAACTCATATCTGAAAGTCCTTATATTGTCCCAAAATCACTTAAAACAGAGCTCCGATAACATTTTAGGTCACCAATTGTCGCAAAGGGTCAACTATGTTTGGTAGAGAATTTTTTATGCTAAAATCCGATAATCAGAAAGCTGTAGAAGCTAAAACACCTACTCTAGCTTGTAAATAATCTGTCTAATAAGTTATAAACTTGTACCAAATAATTTGACACAAACTCTCAAATTAAAATAAGCGGTAATAACCTCTTAGAATCTATACCAAACAGCCCAATATAAATCAAGCGTTTTAACAGTAATTTTCAATTTTCACATTTCAATTCACTCCATTCAATTTATAATCATGTCGAATAGATATGTATGGCTTCAAAATTCAAGATCTCTGGCCAACAAAACGAAATGAAAAAGATGAAATCACTTCCATAACACAGGAAGAAAAAAAAATGATATATTGAAACAACGATACGAAGAAAGAAATAAAAAACCTGCTTGTTGTAGATGTTGAAGTAGATGTTTAATAAATACCAGGTTGCAAACATGAAACCCAGCTGCGAAGTCCGACCCAATTCATTCGATTTCTCTGTTTCATCTGCGTTTTCTGGAACCGAAGCAGCCCTGACCTTGAAATCATTCAACCTTGGGTTTGAAATCAACAACGAAACAGAGGTGGCTCTGTTGTTGCTCGAAGCAGAGTAGAGAGAGAAACTTCTGAGAAGAGAGAGGTCAGGTGATTTTGAGGAAGAGAAGAACGAGTGCGAAGCAAGAACTGGTTTAGGGTTATGGTTAGGGTTTCGATTGGGTGGTTTGCGTGATTTGAGAAAGGGAGTGAATGGAGACAGAGCTAATGCATAGCTCTCCATTTTCGACTCTGTCTCAAGCGACAGACACAGAGAGAGAGAGAGAGAGAGTAGTCAGTCAATCAAAAATTGCACTAGGTAGAAAATTGGCGCTACCCCAAAACGACGACGCTTTTGTTGCTCTTATACAATTATGGTAATGGCATGTTTTTTATTTATTTGTTTTTTGTTTTGTTGTTTTTTCGTAAAATGTTTGATATTATTAAAAAAGTTAGGTTGCAAAAAAAGAATATTTGTTGATATTAAATGTCATGATTGTAACAACGAGATTTGATGAGGTTGTATAAAAATTCAAAAATAAATAAATGAAATCAATTTTATCGCTCATTCAATAAAATAATTTTAAAAATGAATTGTTATAAACTACTTTATAATTTTTAAAATTGCTAATTTTACAACAATCTAAAATCAAGAAAAATAAGTTATTTGCATCACAATAAGACTGTATATATCTAACCTTCTCTAATTATGCAATCATCAAAGTTTTATACACGGTTTTTGTTTACCCTAAAAAAAATCCCATGGAGAGAGCTGCATCATCCAAAAAATGGAGGAGGGGAATGTTTAAAACATCTGACTAAAATGCAATTTGAGCTCTAGTGGGATTAGGTGGTTTTTGGAAGTTAGCATTGGGTGGTTGGCGATTGGCCGTGAGAGGGAGAGAGAGTGAGAGGCTGTGTACTGAATTTGCTGAATCAAAAAATGTGATAATGCGAGGTCTTCACCTATCACCACCACCACCATATCCGATGGAGATAATCAACAATGGAGGACCCCCTGTTAGCCCCACCATGTACTTGGGTTGGGACCATTCATTTCTCAGCCTTCATCTATTAAGAATGAGTCCACACTATAAGAATCGCTTAATTATTTAAGATTCGTTTTTTCTTTTTAATTTTGTTCTTTTATTTTAAATAATTTATTAATGGTAGCCTGTATGTTAAGTGAATATTTTTTCGTAATTACACAAATATTTTTTATCATTGGTCAATTATACAACAATTTTTTTTTGTAATTACGCAAACATTCTTGATCAATTACGAAACATAAATCTTTTATTTTTTAACAAATTACAAATACACGCATAAGATTTGTTTAAAAGAAGAATTGATCCTATAATATTAGAAATTACAACTACCGTTTGTTATAAATTTTTATTTAACACAATAATTCTTCTATGCAATAATAAATTATCAAAATTATTTATTAAAAATTATTTCTCATATCATTAAAAATTATTAATTGACTTAATGATTTATTCATTAACAAAATGATTAATTGAAAAATATTTTTCATAACATTACAAATTGTTAAAATTAATTATTTGTATATACATGTATTTATTTTGTTTCTTTATTAGTCCAGTGAATTATTTTAATAATTTTTTTTAGATGGGAAAATTGTCTTAATATTTGTTTTATATTTATCTGTTGAGAAAAGTTATACAACATAATTTCTTTTTTTAATAAATTTAGAAGAAATATTAAAGACTCATAAATTCACCTAAAATGATATGGCAATAAAATTATAGCCTACATCATTGATTGTATAACAAATAAAAAATGATACACACCATGCCACATAATTCTATTATATATCTAATAATTTATTTTATTCAACTTAATAGAATAATATTTTAATTTAAAAAAATTATCAAAATATAAAACTTAAATATACTGCAATAACACAGCCTTTTTTAAACTAGTATATATATAATTTGCATAAGATCCACTAGTATATATATATATATATAATTTGCATATCCTGTCACATTCCTACATAGAAATCCACCAAAAATACAAAAATAGAATGGACTTGGATGAACCAGTCAAGTAATTTATGAGATCACACTTTGATGCAGATACCAACTGTGCACAACTCCTTGTAATAGTGTAGATATTGCACAAGAACAAGAACAACAATAACAAGGCAAACTTCACTTTGCCCTCATGATTTGGGTCATTTGTAGATTACTTTCCTGACGTTCAAATATCATCGCATAACCCCTATGATTAATGAAGTGATGTGTACAGTTAGCACCGTTAATGTTAGAAGTAAAAAGACTATTTTGCCCTTATATATATAACTTTTGTTTAACATTTCTCATTCAACAGGTGGACGAGAGAGAGAGAGAAGAATCAATGGGGCTGTCAGAACCAGTGGCAAAAGAGATGTGATGATTTTTATTTTGTTCTTTTTCTCTTTATTTCTTATCATTTCTCACCAAATCACTCAATTAATTATATTCATCAAATAAAGAAATCATAGAATTTAGACCAAAACCCCAAATGAGCAATTCAATTTTATTTCAAAACCTAAACTACAATCATACTTCATGAACAGCAACAGTTGTCGAAGAAGAAGAAGAAGAAGAAGAAAACGATGAAGAAGACGATGATGAAAAAGAACAGTTGTCCCAAAGAAGGAAGAGTTCAATATCTGATGCTTTTCTCACCACTCTCTAAAACTCAATCCAAGCATTGAACATTTTGTAGATCTTGTATTGTAAAGGAACTCCTTGGTCTCGTGTGGGTATGTTTAAAAAATTGAAGATCACAAATATATATATATGAAGATCAAAATCATCACATTTCTAAGAAAAAAAGTTCTTTTTTTTTTTTTTATATCAACTTTCGGAGCTCCAACAGCATGCAAAGAAGCACAATAGCTACAGTTTATATATATTCATATATATATATATCAAAGAATATTATATTTTGATATATATATATAAATATATATAGCTACAGATTATATACATATAACTACAGTTTTATTCTTGTACCATATTCTCAACATATATATATAACTACATATTATATCTATACATGTATATACATTAATTTTGAATAGAAATTATGTTGTTTAAATTAATTTAGATTTTTGTTTTAGGTTCTTACGAGTTTTTGATTTTCAAAAGCAATATAATGTTTACTCATTGTTCTTGGCCTTGAGTTAGAGGAAGAATATGTGAAATTGAGAGATATGTGTTTTGAAAAATGAATATCTGGATATTGATAATAAAGATGAGGATAGGTTTTGGAAATTGATATGAAGATGAGGGCATTTTAGTCATTCAATTCGGAAGAAAAATCATATTTTCATGCCCATTTGCATATTACGCGCGTGTTATGCACAACCTGTTAGAATAGATGGAAAAGTTAACTGTGCACATCACTCCATTAATCATAGGGGGGTTATGTGGTAATATTCGAACGTCAGGGGTAATTCCCACATGGCCCAAACCATAAGAGGTAAAGTGAAATTTGCCCCAATAACAATAAGAAGAAGAAGATTAGTAGTTCAAAAAAAAAAAAGACGATTAGGTGGACAAAGAGGAAGAGAAAGAAGAACAAGTATTTTCTAACAATTATAGTGCTTGACTTATAGTATGCATAAAATATTTTTTCTTGCAAACTCTAGAAAAGCCTTTCACCTGTTCTCTCCCAAACTTGCTTTCCGAGTAATTGAAACCAGTAGCCACTCTTTAGTCATAAAATGCAGCAAACCAATAACAACTGCCATGTGCTATTCTTAATCGCATTTGTTTCAGAATGCCTAAACAATTGCCGCCAACAACTACTAGTCAAGGATTTTATCCACTTTCTCTTTTGCCTTTTCCTTTTTTTCCTACAAAACTCTTGAATGATAGAAGAATGTTCTACTGAACTTGACAATGAACTGAACCAGAAAAAGCAATGCAAACCTGCTCTCCTACACTGATAAATGAGTGGTCATATTATTTATGAAAGGCAAATGAGTCTTGCAAACGTGAGATAGCCAGTGTGACCTCTTGCCTCAGATGATGGTCTAGCCATGACCGTGGGAGAACTAGAAATCTCCATTCCATTGCCACCTTCACTTGAACGCTGCCTCCTCTTGCAACGATGGGACCCAATAGGAACACTTTCATCAGCTTGGCTGTTCTCCATTTTCCCTTCTCTAACTTCATACATGCGGAGGAGTACCTCAAACGTTCTTACATCTACACAGCACACAATGATTACCAATAACAAACTTTCAGGAAAAACACATACACACACACACACAGCAGTCTCCACAAAATCAAGCAAGGTACAGCTGCAATAAAAACTAGAAGTACACCATTAGTCCATTAAAACCCAGAAGAATAAGAGGCAGCAGTGCTTACCAGTAAAATTTGCTCTTAGAGTTTCACAAGAACGTTGTACTTGCTCAATGCATGGTGAGAAGGAACACAAAATCCCATCTTGTTTCAACATTTTCCCAGCAGAAGGAATGGCCAGCCAAGGTTGGGGTAGGTCAAGGAAAACAGAATCAGCCTTCCCACAAAAGTCATCAGGAAACCCCTCGCCTTGAATATCTCTGACTCCCACCGTGACTAAGCTACTCAATCCTGTCCTCTCAAAATCTTCCCTGTCCCACCAAAACAATAAAAACATTGTACTTAGTTTTGAAAGTTTGGGTATTTAATTACATGTTCTGAGCATGTAAAGGTGCAACATTTTATCTTTGCATGAATTAATTTGGTGCAACAGGTGGAAGTCAAGCAGAGAATCAAAATGCTGTGGTGCCTTTCTTTAGATAACCATTTTCTTTTAACAATCCAGTCAAGTTTATTACTAATATTAGATAACACCTTGTAATTTAAATTCATCAACACAAAAACAAACAAAAAATAGTAACAAAAAAAAAAAAATGTAACCCGACATCAATTTAAGCATACAAGCCTTTTCTTACTTAAGTTAAAACGAGTAGAATTTATAGCTGATATTGAATAACATCACAACTGAACTTCAGTTTGAAGACACATGCTCCTTTCCATTGGTCAGCTTGAAGAAGTAACTTATAGTCTCATACAATGCATCAGCTATATGGCTTGCAGAAAATATGGTAAGAAAAAGAAAAATGGTTGAGATCTCTTTTCTTTTCCTCTTTTTTCATATTTTTTTTTTCACGGCCAAAGAGAAATGATTGAGATCTACAAACAGAGTTTGAGGTATCCTGAAGTGACAAAAAAAGATAGGATCATATCATGTAGAGATACTGATTTCTTACCTAGCCGAGACAGCCCTTTGTTCATGGAAATCAAATGTATAGACATGTCCTGTGGGAGCTACAGCCCTTGCAAGCGAGGTAGTTAAAGATCCACTTCCAGTGCCAGACTCAAGAACCAAACAGCCAGGAACTATTTCCAAGTACATAATAACAAAGCTAATGTCTGCAATATATAGAATCTGAGTTCTGTGGCTCAGAACCAGAGTCCAAAGCTCAGGAGTTGGAGCTAACAAGTAAACAAATCCACCCTTGTTGCTGAGCACCTTGGAACCAAAGGGTTTTCCAATCCAGTCTGAATGTTTAAAAACACCAAAACGGTTCTGGAGAACTGAATTCTCACATACTTTAACAGCCTTCATGTTGTCATGCCTCTCATACACAATAACTAAATCTCCATCACCAATGCAGCGGTTAAATGATATCTTTTTTGAAGGATCAACCGCCAGCATCATTAAAATCTTGTAGGCAATATACAATGTTGGCAAAAACAGTTCCCTGCTAAAACCAAATTAGTAAGACAAGATGTGGAGTATCTCATCAAATTTTGTGATATTTCTCTTTTAAATTTTCACACAACTGGGGCATAAATTCAGTGGAAACTCATGCTTCTATATGCCACTACCAATTTTAATTGAATCTAACACACATTTAATAAACAAAAACAGAAGTGACTAGTTAGAGCCTAGAAAAATACATAATATATATTCTCACATATATATTATCGACTTAATGATTGTGATTTGTTCATACATCAAGTAACTAACTCTGCAAGATATCAAGAGTTAATATATAATCAGACACAAAGAAACATTTTCAGCCCGCACGAGTCACATCCCATATACTCTCGTATAAGCCATCATATATTAAGCATGAAAATATCTGGAGAAACAAGGCATTGCAAGGTAGAAATTGTAGGCAATCTGTACAATAATTATGTTAACATAACCAATAAATAAATAGCCCGTAATTTAGAAATCCTTTAAATTTTTATGTATTTTTTATTTTTTTCAGTGGATAAATTGCCCTAACAAGATATAGTCAAGGGCAAATGTTCTTGCAGCTAAATGAGAAACAAACTGTTCAGTGTCATCCGAGTAACCAATAGATGATTGATTGGGTCAACATGTTAAAAAAATAAACCATAGAAAGGGTAAAATGTAACTGCATGGATCTGTAATTAACATAAAGCTGAATGAACTAGCTCATTGATGAGTTCCAAAATGAGTAATTATTCACAACCATGCTGATAAAAAACAAAAGTTCATATTAACAAAGCAATAATACAATTAACAAACTGAATCAATCAGCACTGAACACTGGACTGTTCATTCACGAAAAGGGTATATTCAAGCACTACAAGCCATACAATACATCCACAAGGAAAAACAAGAAACGCTTACTCTGAGAAATGCAGAGTCAGTTTAATCGAGTTCGACGATGAGCAAAGCTAGAGAGAGAGAGAGAGAGACCTCGTCCTGGTTCTTCTCTCTCCGTGGATTAGGGTTTATGCGAAAGGTTGTGAAAATTTCAATTGTACCCACTGCGTTATGAGAAACTACACAATCTTTCCCTCAATATGAAGTTTTGCAATAACACCCCGTTTGGTTAAGCTAAAAACTGCTGAAAAGAATTGATGATATCTTTCTCAGTTTCTTAATACTAGTGAAAGGGCCGCGTGCAAGGCACGCTAACTAATAGCCAGTTAGTGCCCATTACATTTGTGCATTTAAATGAGTTTTGAGCTATTGCATAAACACACAAAATTAGCAACTCGATCATGAATACAAGATCGACTCAACAATACAAAGTTTTTAACATATACTATTACTTATACAAAAATAAAAAATAAAAAAACCTATTACAAGATCTATTTTCCCAACAAAATTGTCATTCCTAAAAATATGATGTAATAAAAATAAAGCAATTGTTTTCTCTATTTGACAAATGAACAAGTACTCAATCATCCTTAATGGCAGGACTTGAAATCCCTCATCAATTGTGAACCCACTTTTACTTGGTATATTATGAGTAAGATGAGCCAAACCATGCTTGTTTGTAATGCTGTGAGACCTACCACATCATCTCCTCCATGAACTGAATTTTCTATTAAATCCTCAGCCAGAGTTGCTCTGCATTATATTTGTTAGAAAGAAATATCTAGTTTTCATAATTTAGCATTTCAAATCAAATACTACATTTTAGATCCCATCAACTCCTTCAATCTAGATGTATACCAAATGGATCAGGATCATGTGAATAATCAAACATGATTTGTTTGCAAAACTTTTATTCTACTTGCTTAAAGCATTAAAAAAAAAAAAAAAAATTAAAACAATAATAGAAAGGTTATCAGCCCTTCTTATTTAATAGTTTAATGGGGACAAAAAAAAAAAAAAAAAGCAATACAAAGGTAGACCATAATAACTATTATCAAACATCCTTATTTGCATGGATTGGAGATAAGATAAATAGCTAATCATCCACTTGAAAAGAAGGAAATAGAGAACATACCTACAAGCAAATTCTTACGAGGGTTAGATTCAAATCATTGTGTTTTATGAAGCTCAAACATAGCGCATGCATGCAAATTAAATCATTCAAAATTCAAAGAGAAAATTAATCAACAAGATGGTGCAAATTACATAGCGAGGGAATTTCACATCTAAAAGCTAGACCAAACCCACAAGCTTAGTTTTTTAAGCCTTTCATATTTGATAATTAGCTTTTGATAATAAGGTCTAGTTTGCTATTAGATGTTTTTAGCAACTTGCATTCACTAAATTAGATCACAGATGGTCATTCCACAACATTAGTTCTAGATTAACAAGAAGCAGAAGCAATGTTGGATTCTATCATAGTAGTGTTTTCTTTAATATTTGAAATAGATTTTGAGTGCATGAATGCAAGTGATGTTTTAGGTTAGGTTTAATGATCACACTGGACTACAAAGTACAGGTACAATAATTCCAATGATCTAATTAATCGGTTAGAACCTTCGTCTAAAAATAGATCTTTTACAACATGTGAAAGGAGTTTTTCCTATCCAATCGAAATTTTTTGACAAGTTCCAACTCTTCAGGGAAAATTTGAGTCTAAAGTTGGGGGATGGCAAGAATATTAATTTCTGGAAGGACAAATGGCTTGATGAGAGACCCTAGTTGCATAAACTTTCAGATAATAAGGATGGAAATGTGGCTAATCTTCTCCGCCCAGGTGATCATAATGGCTCTTCGCAACTTAATTTTAGAAGAGCTTTTTTTGTATAGGAAGAAGACGACTTTTCAAACCTGTTACCTTAATGTTGTGTTTGGAGCATGGATTTGGATAAGGATTTGAAAAGGAAAGGGGAAAGGGAAAACGAAAAGAGAAAGGTGGGTGAAATGTAACTATATTTCATTCACATTTTATCTTAAACATTTTCGCTTTCCTTATTCAAATCTCTACCTAAATTCATGATCAAACACGGCCTAAAGTGATAGTGTTCGGTCTTGAAACAAGATTATGGGTGTGCTCTGTTATGCTATGGGAAACATTTGTAGGAATCTTTTAAACATTGGAGTTTTTTTGGTTGATGCAGCACAATGATTTGGGAATTTTTTCAGCATCAATTGCTGCTAGTAGTTTTTTGTTTGCATATTTGCTACTTAGCGTTATTGGCTTGTTTTGTTTTGTTTGGTTTGCTACCCAATTTTGATTGGGATTTGCGTTCCCTTTTTGTCTGCTTTGCCTGGCTTTTGTTTCTCCGACTGACGTATTCATTGTACACCTTGTACCTTTGTCTTGATCATCATATATTTTTATTCTTTGCCGATTAAAAAAAAATTCTAAGAAACTAGCATAACTTCTTTGCACTTCTAGTATCGGAGGTAAGGCACAGAAAATAAATCTCACAATTACTAATTTACTCATTAAAAACAAAGAAAAGAATTATGAAATAAAAATGAAATGAAACAATAAAAGTTGAAAATGGTTTGTTAGGCAACAACACTTCCATTCAAACTACAAAAGGCAACAAAAGCCACCATAAAATGCAAAGAATGTACATTTCAATAAGAGGACTTCAATCTCATTAAATAAAAACCATGCAAAGTATGCAACGTCAAAGGAATTGAGTATAAATGTTGAATCATTTATCACAAGAGAAGGTTCCTGCCCATTTTTGGCTCTTGTACACGAGAATAATTGCCAACAGAATGAGATTAAATATATGGATTTTAAAGATGATAATTTGAAGAATTCTTTTCAAAATGAATTTTTTTAGTGTACTAGAAAAAAAAATGCTCAAACTTTTCATAATTAATAATTATGAATGAAGAGAAGAATAGTGTATCCTCTGTTATATGAACACCTAACATGCAAAAGGTAGTAATTTACGCTTCAAGTTTCAACTAAACAAACCAACAAAGGAAAATTAAAGAAACTGTATTATATATACTGTTAGGAGACTTCACAATTGTTAACAAAAAATACACATATCTACATACACCAAATTGAAAAAAAAAAAAAAATATGAAGCAAGTTAACAAAATCTTACTAAGGAATAGAGGAAATTATATAAACTTATTACAACTCACATCACAAAAGAATTATGAAACCACTAAATATGAAAGGCAAAACCATTGGGCCAAGACTCCAACGACTATGTTGTAGTTTTCCTCACATTTATTTAACCCTCCATAGTGGCCAAGGCGCTGAGCCCCAATCACATTAAACATGATTCATACTAATTTGTTATTTAATTCTCTTTTATGAATGAAACTCAAAACAAAAGTCATTTCCAAATCTAGCGAGAACAAAAGAAAAAAAAAAAAAGCAATGAAGAGAAAAGATTTGGACCTTTACTATTCAAATTGACGTTTAAAAGTGATCTTAAGAAATTGTTGAGGTTTATTGAACTTTTCACACAGATGATATATTTTTCAATTTTAATCAAAGAATTAAAATTACTAATAAATTTTTAAAAACAAGTATGGCACCTTTTTGCAAACCCATTTCACAAAAGACACCTATGAACAAAGAAAACCAATTGCCAAAAAATCTTCTCTACTTTCACTGGTATTCATTTCAACCCTATCAATGATCAAAACTAGATCCACAGTCTCTATTTTATATGTGATCTTCTCTCTCACTCTATCTTTCTCTACAAGGGACCATCACATACCTATATATTTTTCTTCTTTCTCTACTCTTTTTTCTTTTCCCACACTCTTACCGGCCATCCCTCACCTCTCTGGTTTTTTCTTCTTCTCTTTTCTCTTCCACATCTCTTGAAGAACTTATTACTCCAACCATGAGGGATCTTCACATCATCAAAAGTCAAACATAATCGCAGAATTCCTCAATCACCCAATTAATTTTCCATGTAATAGCCTTGCAATGGACACACTACCAAGCAATAGTCACAAAACTTTGACACACTATGTTCTACAAAACAAATTGCAAAAGCTTAAGCACTTCCACACATCACTGAACAACTACCACATCAATGGAACTAC